GAGCCGCTGGTAATCTGGTGGCAGCTCAGCGGGATTACGGCAGCGCTGCAAGGTGCCTCCTGCTTTTCTTGGTTAACCTGCCAGGTGGTTTTTAATTAATTCTCCATTTGGGGAAAAAAAAAAATTAAGTTTGAACGTTAAAGGTGTCGCAGTTGTGTTTTTCTGCCAGCTTTGCAAACCTCTGCGATCACCTTCCAGCTGCTTTCTAAATCTTAGAAAGGAGGAGGGGAAAAAAAAGAAAGTCAGGCTGCGTGAAAACACGAGGGGCTCGTTTTCAGTTGAGGAAAACACCGGGCCTGAGTTTACTGGGGGAAGAGCAGGTACAGAGGTTTCATGTTTACAGCAGAACTTCCCACCCGCTCTAGGAACAGAGGAAGAAAGCACACGATCAGCCTGCTTTTGCAGCCGCGCTTCCCCCCAGAAAATACCCTCTGTTCTTAGGTGGAAGCTAAATGCCATGCGGTATTTTGGAGGGATGTTGTAAAGTAATGTAATAAATTAAACTGTTGCTTCAGGACTGAGCTACCCTTTCTTCTGAACTCTGCATGCAACGTTACGGGATTGCCCAGGGTAAAGCTGGTTTAACAGTGATCCGTTTGTGCGTCTGAAGTTGGCAGCAGCTTCTGCCGGGTCGTTTGGGAAACCGGAGGCTGGTTTCCTTAGCAAGAATTTTGGAATAAGCGTTTTAAACGCGTGCGTCTTGGAGAGACGTGTCTGCTCGCAAACACCGCTGCCCTCCTCCCTCGATGCTGCCGAAGAGGCTGGTGGCGCAGGAGGGAGGGCACGTCCCTGAGCGCGTTTCCTTCGCCCCGTCTCCCCAGGTGCGCAAGCACATCAATGACCTGTACGAAGACCTGCGAGATGGCCACAACTTGATCTCTCTCCTGGAGGTCCTGTCAGGAGTGAAACTGGTAAGTCTGGAAGTTTGCCTGGTGGCCCTGCTGTCCCCTCCACCACCACCGCCTGGTTCCTCCTCCTGCATCTTCCCTCTCCATTCTGGTTGAGTCACAGCGATCAGCAGTTGGTTTTTATGCCATAGTTTTGTTTTGTTTTGTTTTTTTGGTTTTTTTTTTGCATTTTTCACTCAAACGTGTGTTCCTCGTGCTGATTTCTTGGATACCACTGAAGCGTGTGGTTATCTAAAACTGCCATTTTATGGTGCCCTGAGTAGACCCCTCTTTCTGAGAGGGCTTGCAAGCTTTTATTTTCCATATTTTTCTCTATATGAAAAATAATGAATAATAACGGCTCTGACTAGAACTGTTTCCATGACCATTTGTCTGGCAGCTTAGCTCAGAGTTTGTAGAATTGGTAGGACCCATGCTTCCCCATCCTCCTCCAAACTTAGCAACTACTGAACAAGCCGGATTTGTGGAAATCAATAGCTGTCTGGCATGCAAATATCTTTTCTTGCATTTTGAACATAGTAGGATCCCCCTCCCTCCCTCCTCCTCCTCCTTTTTAGGCTGTCACATTTAGTTAGCACTGGGAAGATCCTTATTGGTGCAACACTGTAGCACAG